CCTAGTACCTTATTTGGCATTTTTATCTGTGGCTGTCAGTTTCCACAAAACAACAGCCATCTATTCAATAAATATTTGCTGAATATCTACTACGTGCTCAGTGTTAACAACACACAGACGAACAGGACAAGAGGCTGATTCCCAGGAAGCTTTCTACAGGAAAGAAGAGGCAAAATATACAGATTCCATGGACCATCCAGCAAGTAGAGCCCAACTTTACATGTCTGTGTGAAGTTACTGACTTAACAATTGTTTTGTGTTTGTATAAGTACAATTATTTTTAAAAATTATATTTAACTTTTCAATGGGATTGTAATCCCAGCTATTTGGGAGGCTGAGGCAGGAGGATCACAAATTTGTAGCCATCCTGGGCAACTTAGAGAGACCCTGTCTCAAAATAAAAGGGATGTGGCTATAGCTCAGTGGTAGAGCATCCCTGGGTTCAATTCCTAGGACCAGAAAGCAAAAGCAAAAACAAAAACAAAGCAACTTTCTAGTGGGAGATATATTACCTGGTTCAACAATCAAATGATATGAAAAGATATCTCCATTTGCTCGTCCCCTTTTTCCCACCTCCCCTCTAGCTAATCATTTTATTAGATTCTTGTTTATACTTCTCGTGTTTCCTTATGCAATTATATATAAACCTGTGTTTTAATTTTCCTTTCCCAAAACGGGTGGTGTGCTAGATACTTACTGTGTATCCTAGAGTTCATATTGGTCCGTAGAGACCTTCCTCATTGTCTTCGATAGCGCTAAGTATTCCACTATGTGGATGAATCATAGTACATTAACCAGTTCCTATTGATAGCCACTTGGGATATTTCCAGTCTTTTGCCATTACAATGAGTGCCCCAGTGAATAATCTTGTAGTGTGCCATTTGTATGCATGCAGGGGTATTTGTAGAATTGATTTACAGAAGTGAAATTGCTGAATCAAAGGGCACTTGCAATTATAATTTTGGCAGATTTTGCCAGCTGTCCCTAGGTAGGGTTTGTACCATCTTGCCTCCTCCCAGCAGTGTCTGAGAAAGTCTCTTTCTCCTGGGTAAAAATATTTCTAATCCCTCCTTGTCTTTTAGTACCAATAATATGTATGCATCTTTTCCTTGTAGTACTGTATATGTTTTTGAGTATTATCAAAGTTTCTATTAGCACAAGTAAAGCCATCCTAAGTAGATAATGTGTTATACTTGCTTTGTGGTGTTTCAGATGAGAAATTCTTGAATGTTTAAGGAATGATATAGAGGGCAGGCTAGGGTGGGGAGGGGTGCAGTTCAAGCCATTGGGTAGTGGGAGGGAGGATCAGGGCTAGACTGTGGAGAGGACTTGTGCTGTTAGGTACTAAGAGCTTTGGATTTTTCTTGCACACAGTAAGCAGCCAGTGAAGGTTTCACTGAGGAGGAAGGGGTTGGTTAAAACTCAGTCAAGGCAGATTTTAATTCTAGTAGCCTGTGCAGGATGTGAAGGAAAAGACAAGAGACTGTGACTTTTAATTCTTAAACTTCCCTGTTGTGGCTTGTTACAGAAGTAAACGCGGAAGATTTCTATTTAGGAGTTTTCTGTTGCATTACACGGAGGCGGAGGCTGGGGAAGAAATCCTTAGCCAGGAGGGATAATTTCACTATTATGCTTTCTAGCTGGAAGGCTTGAGGGGCCCACTTGGTTCCTCAAGAGCTGTCCCTGTCATTGTCATTCAAATGCACACTAATCAAGACATTGTGTGAGTCACTTCCAGCTCACAGAGCCGCCGGTGCCTCAGAACCTCCCATCTTGGAGATATTATTTCCCACTTTCAACGCAGAAGCACTCATTAGTGGGACAATACCTCGTCCAAGACACTGCGAAGAGAGGGTGTCAGACCTGAAAAAAGAAGGCCAGCTTCCCAAAGTTTTGCTCAGTTGTTTTTTTTTAACCAGTGAGTGGCCTCGCCAAACGAGGTCGTCTGGCTCCTCGTGGGTGCGAGGAGCAGGCTATGCTGTGTGCGGTTTCCATGGCAGTGGCCAAGGAGCCCGCGGGGACGCGCAGCCAGGTGGCTCGCGCTGGCTCACCTGCTTGCTGTTGGCAGCCTCCGTAATGAGGAGGCAGGAGGCCCCCTTCTGCCTCTCAGTTCCTGGAGCTTTTAGATTGTCTTTGGTTACTCCCTTTATGAGTATGATCCCTGTGTGAGAGAACTTTAAAGTTCTGATCTCATAAAAAGTGCGACTTTATCTCGGAGAGGATTGAATGGCAGCCATTCAAAAGGCGAGGGTGGAAAAGTACCAGGAGCATGCGCGCCTCTGGGAAGAGCGGCTAGAACTGAGAGGGGAGGCTGGTGCCAAAGACTGAGCTTCCTGCAAAAAAGAAGATTTTCGCCCCACCCTCGAAAGGGCCACAGGAATCCTTTTCTCAGTGTCCTTGACCTCAGCCATCGGAATCCAGAACTGGTCATCTTCGCTTGATCTGGTCTCTTCATTTAACGAGCTCACCATGACTGTTGGTTACTTGCTGCAGCCCAGAAATGTCTGTTTAATCACTGTCCCGTAATTTCCCAGTGAGGGCATTAGGAATTCAGAGTCCTGGGAGCGGGGGGCGGGACCTAGGAACTCAGCGCAGGACATCAAAGTCAGGTCCAAGTTCATAGTGTGCTTTTTCAGCAGGTGCTTTCTGTTTCCAGGTCAGCAGACGCAGCTGCTGTTTGCAGCCCAGTGGTGTTGGAGACATCAGGCTTGGGGCTTGGCCCTAAGGGCGGGTTCTAGCAGATCACACGTTTTTATCTAAGGAGCTAACCTTGGAAGAATTCCATGGCAGGGAGAAAGGAGAGGCTTGGGGTCAGGGGCTTGGTCTCCGGCTTAGGAAATAAAGATGTTCTAAGTGAATTCCACCCAATATAGTTATGAAAGCAGGAATGATAGGGATCGCTGGAGCAGAGGGGCAGAACAAGGCTCCCCCAACTGCTTAAGACCCTGAAGAAGTGGCCCTAAGGCCACATGTTCTTCTTGGACATATTGAAGAATCAACAAACAGAATGGAACATATTTTATAGTGTCAAGCTCCCCTGGGAAACAGCAATAACAATCAAATTCAATTTAACACTACCTGTGAGTCAAAAATGGATTTTTTTTTTTCAGGGCAAAATACTATTTGCCATTAAATCATAAACCAAGACAATGAAACTCCCATTGGCAAGCCCCCCAAACTAATTAAATACCTTTCTTTGGTTCTGTATTATGACCAGTTAAAGGAGAAGGAGAGAGGAGAAATAGAGGTAAATCTGATCATGCAATCACTCCTCTGGTGAATATTTTTAAAAGTACTTATTCTGTTTTGGGCTTCAAAGCAGGAACTAAGTGATTTAGCCTTTATTCCCAGAGGCTGTTCGCTGGAGACTCAGGAAGGCAAGCAACCAGACAGGTGATAGATGGAGGCCTGGTGTCTTGGGCTTGGGGCCAATGGCTGGACTAAGAGGGCTCATTAGCTTGGAGGCATGGACTCCATGCTGTAGGATAGGCCTTTAAACAGGAGGGATGAGTTTCTCTAAGCCCATTCTAGTTGGTAGATAGAAGAGAGTAGAAAAGGAATCCAGTGAGATGGCAGCAGTGGAAAACCAGAGAGAGAACAAGTGGAGGCATGAGCAGGGGCAGAGTCATAAGACTCTGGACCAGGCCCAGTGGCTGGGGATAGGAGGAGTGAAAGGAGGCAGGTCAGACTGCTGGGCTTCTGCTTGGGCAATGGTAAGGCAAGTCACATGGATCCCTGGGACAGGGCAGAGGAAGAGCGCCTGGATGGGCATTGTGGTTAGTGGGGGGCAGAGACAGGGAGAGTGATGAGTTTGAATACTTAATTTTATCAGATAGTGTGTTAGTTGGGATTCTACCAGAGAAACAGAACAAGTACATTGGTTTACATGATTTTGAGTGGCTGGGCAAGTCTAAAAAGCCCTGGGGCAGGCTGTCTAGAAGGACAGCTGGAACTCTCAGGCAGAAGTCAACACTGAAGGTGGAATTTCTTCTTCCTTTGGGAAATTTGCTCTTAAGGTTTTTCATCCCATTAGATGAGGACAACTCAGATCATTGAGAATAATCTCTTCTACTTAAAGTCAATTGATTGTAGATGAGAATTAGATCAATGAAACACTGACACAGAAACACCTAAGTTTGTGTTAGATTGTGCAAGTAAGTGAAAATGGAGACCAGGCTTGAAGAAAGCCAGTCAGACCCCATAAGTGACTTTAATCTTGCTTGATTTGCAAATGCCAGTGAAACTTAACTTGAGCTATTTCTTATAAATACCTATATGAAAGAAAAGCAGAACTTAAGTTCAACCAATCAAAGGCAGGCAATGAACATATAATTAGGGACTTTTCAGATGTGGACCAACTAAGGCAACTTTATAACTGTAACAAAACATTACATTGCATTACTTTGGCATTTACTCTATAAAAGCCTGTTTTTATATTTCTTCAAACTTCTTGTAGTTTGGAGCTTCCTATACATGAATTGATATTTGTGCAAATAAGCTCTTTAAATTTGTGCCTTGGTTTACTTTTTTAATAGGTTGAAAAACTGGATACTATAGTTCAGTCAAGTTGACATAAGACTAATCATCTGCTATAGTTTGGATTTGGAATGTCTCCCAAAGGCCTAAGTTATTAAAGTTTGGTTCCCAGTGTGGTACAATATATTGAGAAGTGATGGAATAGGGTGGGGCTTAGGTGGGAGATCTTAAGGTTATTGTGGATGTGCCCTTGAAAGGGACAGTGGGACTCCAGTCCCTTCTCTTTCTCTTTTGCTTCCCGGTCACAAGGAAAGCTACTTGGCCTTCCTCCATCATGTACCATGATGCATTGCCTCACTACAGGCCCCAAAGCAATGGGACCAGTGGATTTTGGACAGAAGGTTCCAAAACTGTGAGCCCAAACAACTTTTTTTCTCTTTATAAGATGATTGTCTCAGATGTCTCAGGTGACAGAAAGCTGACTAAAACACCATATCTGGGTAAACCATGCATAAATGGAAATATTAGAGGGTGATGAAAAAAAAAAGTTTTAATTTTGTCTCAAACTCCTAGTAATTCCCCCTGGGAGAAATACAGTAAAATTTCAGCGGCTCAATCATGGACGAGAGAGGGATTTGGATAGGAAATAGGGCCTGGAGGTCTTTAGAATTTGGGTAAGATGCAAGGCCTTGGGACTGAGTGAGACTACCCAAGAAGAGAATGACAATTATGAGAGAGAGAGAGGAGAGAAGGGCCAAACTCTGGGGACATCATGAAGAGAACAGGAACCAGGAGACGGGGCACCATGGAAGCTTCAGTTCATAGTTTCCAATGAGCTAATGCAGAGTGAGTCCAGAGCAAGTACCTAAGAGGCCAGGCTGGATGTGCAGCAGAGGGAGAGACAGTCCAGATGCCAGGAAGACGGTATTCTTCACACTTTGTTGTGGCAGGAAGAAACACCTGTCTACCAACAGAAACACAGAAAGGTCAAAATCAAAGTAAAGCTAGTTTTTATTTGAGAATAGAATTGCAACAAGAATGGCAAAGCACTGCAATGGGAATACATATGCCATAGTAAACTGTGGGTGTATTCAAAGAGGCTGAAGCAAAGGGAAGCTTTTAAAGGCAAAAAGACAATAATCTTTGGTCACAGTGATTAATTATAAGGGTGATGTCAATCTGAGGTTGTGTAGACAGATGCTGGGCGGATGTCCTTGCTGAAGTACATTTTGCATAAGGTTGTTGTGGTCTCTCTGTAAGGTTATGACCTAGGCAGAGTCTTTTGTGATAGTTATTATCAGGCAATTACATGTTCAGAAGCCTTTCTAACTCCTTTAGTTATTTTTTTCTTCCTGGGATTGATATAAGCTACTCCATTTTTATTTTGGCAAATTTCCACATTCCATATGGGAGGTTAAAGGCTTGCTAAAAATAGGCCCAGGGTATGTTGAAGAAGAAGTAGTCAAAGCATCTATATTGTATTGCCAAGAACAGAGGGAAAGGGTGGTGGGAACTGTACTTAGAGTCCACCATAGTAAATCTCTGGTCAAGCAAAGTTTGATCTGGAGCCTCATTTGGGATTGTGTACAAGATTTGAGTATGAATAGCTAGCACTGTGGGAGAAGAGAGGACATACAACCTGTAGCAAGAGAAGGCCTGAAGAGGAAGGATGGTTGGAGATCTCTGAGGGGGCCTCCTGTCTAGGGACTTTGACAGACATTCCTTATTATTCAAATTTATACCGTAGCTTATTGTGTACAATGGTGGATCCAACCCAACTGCTATGGTTTGAATATAGATTTATCCTCTCTGAACTCATGTTGGGGTTTAATTACCATTGTGAGATATTAAGAGAGTATAAACAATCTGACTATGGTGTTTAGAGGTGATGCTTTTGGTAGGCGATTAGGGTTAGATTAAGCAATCAGGGCAGAGCCCCGATGATGATGATGATGATGATGATGATGATGGTGGTGGTGGTTCTGGGAATTGAGCCTATGTTCACTTTACCACTGAGCTACATCCCTAGCCCTTTTTATTTTTTGCTTTGGGACAAAGTCTCAGTAAGTTGTGTAGGGCCTCATAAGTTGCTGAGGCTGGCCTTGAACTTGTGATCCCCCTGCCTCAGCCTCCTTAGTGGCTGGGATTATAGGCTTGTGTCACTGTGCCTGGCTCCTGGTGGATTTTTTAGGAGAGGAAGGGAGGGAGGGGGAGATAGAGATAAAGATAGAGATAGATAGAGAGAGAGATAGAGAGATATCAGAAGATATACATGAGTGCTCCATGTCTCTTGCCAGTGATGCCCTACACCAACTCAGGACTGTGTCAGTAAGAAGGCCATCACCAGATGTGGCCATTTGACTCTGGACCAGAACTGTGAATCAAAATAAATCTATTTATAAGTTTCCCACTGTATGGTATTGTGTTAGGTGTAGCAAAACATAGACTAAGACTCCCACCCTCTCTATTACTCCAAAACCTGGAGGAACAGTCAACAACACATGACAAAAAACATTTGCTGGGGGCAAATATGTTGAGGTCTGTGCACTGTGTTGGGCTCAGGAACTGTTATCAGTGACATCGTAGTATAACTTCAGATTCATACAGGATATTCTAAGAAAAAATCCTGAGGGAGAGAAACAGAATTTCTCTACAGATGAAGAAAATACATCAGGAAAATGTTTCTCAAAGTGTAGGATATTTGTATTCTAACCTTCCAACATATGTTAAGAGTGGTGGGAAAACCTCAACAAGTAGTTGCAACTATAAAGACTACAAAGCAGAAATTTAGGAACTCAGAATGAAAATAGCCAGATAAAAGGAGGGGGGATAACCAGATAGCAGGTGGACATTATGGACTAGGAAAGTTAGAAAAGAAATAGAAGAAAAGACAAATGCATTTCAGAGATGAACACTAAATTAAAAGGACTTCAAGGGAGACTAGGTGGAGTTGAAAGAACAGTAAAGCATCTAAAAATTAGAAATGAGCAAAGAATGTGGCATAAACTAAGGGAAAAAAAACCAGTATTATGGTTTTGATGTAAAGAGTTTCTTGGAAAAGCTCATATGTTGGAAACATAATATGTAGCAATGTTCAGCAATGAAATGATTAGATTATGAGAGCTGTAACCTCATCAGTGGATCAATATGTTTGATGTATTAGTAATTTGAATGAATTACTGGTGGCAACTGTAGGCAGGTGGGGTATAGCTGGAGGAAGTAGGTCACTGGGAGCATGTTCTTGAAGATTATATTTTGTCCCTGGTTTTTTTGTTTCTCTCTCTCTCCTGCTTCTGGATGCCATGAGATGAGCAGTCTTCCTGTGCCACACTTTTCCACCATGATGTTATGTCTCATCTGGGCCCAGAGTGATGGAATTGGCTGACCATGGACTGAAACTCTGAAACCATGAGCCTAAACCAAACTTTTCCTACTCTAAGTTGTTCTTGTCAGGTATTTTGGTCACAGTGACATAAAACTGACTAACACAAACAGGTAAGAGAAATTAGGAAAAATTGTGAAAGACTGGGATTGAGGGATTATTGTGTGTCTTCAATGGAAAACTGTACTTTGGAGTTCAATGGGAAACAAAGCATTCTTTTCTGGATTGCCCTCTCTGTGTTTGTGCCTTACAGTGTCTCTATGCTATTTTATAACTTTGCAAACTGTAGGTAAGAATAGCAGTGCAAATGATTTTTTTTTCTGGAAATGTGAGGATTAATTTTTTTTCTGGTGGAAAGGGCAGTTGATTCCCTATTGTGATAGGCAGAATAATGGCCCCCCAAAGATATCCTAAGATGTCTAATCCCTGTAACCTTCAAACATGTTATTTTACATAGTAAGAGATTTGTGATTTGATGAAATTAAGAATCTTGAGAAGGGATGTAGGGCATGATGTGGCATGTGGGGCATGTTGCGTTGGAAAGTAGGAAACCTAGCTTGCTGACTTGCTGCCTGCTTCTCCGTCTTGGGTCCACATATGTGGCTGGGATGGCGCCTGGCGATCAGCCAGGAGGTGGTGCTGTGGGTGGTGACGGAAAAAACAGACCACCTCCAGGATAGGTCCAGGACTCTTCCACCGTCGACAGCTCATGCCTTCCCTTACAGACCATAGGATGGGGGTACACTGAACTCCACCCCTCTGACTTTTATCCTGATTGGCTCCTGCGCAGTATATAAGCTATGTGTACTTCCTCAATAAGTGAGATCCTGCTTTGACTGGTCTCCCTGGCACGTCTGATTGTCCTCCAGCGACTAGAGTGTAGGCGGCCAGTCGACCTTTGCCTTTCTTGGCTCGTCCTGGTCGGGACATGCTTTCCCCATCTCTCCCGCAGGTCAGGAGGAAATGGGGGCTAAAAACCCCGACAAAGGGGAGCTCACACTGATTAACCTAGGAGGGCCCAGTGTAATCACAAAGATCCTCATAGGAGGGAGGTACAAGGGGAGTATTGGAGAAGATATATAAATGGAAGCAGAGGTTGGTGTGATGCATGGTCATGAGCTAGGGGGTAAACACAGCCTCTAGAAATTGGAAAAGACAAGAAAACAGATTCTTCCCTGCAGCCTCCAGAAGGAATGCAGTACTGCCAACTCATTTTAGACATCTGACCTCCAGAATGGCAAGATAATAAATTTGTTGTTTTAAGCCACTAAATTGGTAGTAGTATTTCACAGCAGCAATAGGAAACTATGAGCCAATTATATATATATATATATTTGTGAGTTCATTTCATGGTATGTATATGTTTCTGTTCTTTGAATTTAAACTGGTTGTAATATGATATCGATTTTAACGTTTATTAATGAGTGAAATACAATAGTTTAAACGTGTTTATCTTTTTATGAAGTCGTGATTTTATTCTTTCAAAGAGTAATTATTTTCACAAGGAAGCTAAGATCATTCAATGGGAGAGAAGATAGTCTTTTCAACAAACTGGGAGAAAACTGGGTATCTATATGAATGTAAAAAAATGAAGTTGGACTTAATATCATATGTAAAATTAAGGCAAAATGGATTAAAAAACCCCAAATGTAAGAGCTAAAAATGATAGAAATATAGGGGAAAACTTGATGATATCAAATTTGGTAATATTTCTTGAAATATGACAACAAAGGCAAAGACATCAAAAGAAAAACAATGGGTAAGTTAGATTTCATCAAAATTAAAAGCTTTTGTATATCAAAGGAGACTATATCACCTCAAAAAGCAAAAACACAACATAGAGAATGGGAGAAAATACTTGCAAATCACATATCTGATGAGGAATTAATATCTGGTATAGATACAGAACTTCTAAAACTCAATACACACACACACACACACACACACACACAATTACATTTCTCCAAAGAGGATTTATAAATGCCAAGAAACACACAAGAAGATGTTTAAAGTCACAAATAACGAGGGAAGCGCTAATCAGAACCACAGCAAGGCCCCGTTTAACACCCGTTAGGACGGTTATTGCCAAAAACATCAGGAAACAAAAGTAGCATGAATGCAGAGAAATCGAAACCCTTGTGAATTTTTGTTGGGAATGTAAAATGGTGCAGCCACTGTGGAAAATAGTATGGAGGTTTCTCAAAAAATTAAGCATTTGATCCAGCAATTCTGCTTCTGGTTATACACTTGAAATAATTGAAATCAGGTATTTAAACATATCAGATATTTAAACATATATACACTTGAAATAATTGAAATCAGGTATTTAAACATATCAGGTATTTAAACATATATACACTTGAAATAATTGAAATCAGGTATTTAAACACAAATGTTTATAGTTGTATTATTCACTGTATTCAAAAGGTAGAAGCAATGCAAGTGTCCATCAATGAATAAATGAATAAACAAAATGTATATTCAGATAACAGCCTTAAAAAAGAAGGGAATGCAGATATATGGTACAACATGAACAAACCTTGAATATATTTTGTTAGGTGAAATAAGCCAGTCATGGGCTG